TACTTTATTGCTTAATGCGCTAGCAGTCATCTGAGCTTAGCAAATCATAATCTTTTTGTTGGTGGAAAGTTTTGCCTCAGTATTGGTGGCTGATGACTGATCAGGGTGGTGCTTGCTGAAGGTTTGGGTGGCTGTGGCAATTTCTTAAAATAACAAGGAAGTTTGCCCCATCAATTGACTCTTCCTCCCATGAAAGATTTCTCTGTAGCATGCGAAGCTTTTTTATAGCATTTTGCCCAGAGTAGAAGTTCTTTCAAAAGTCAATTCCCTTAAACTCTGCTACTGCTTTACCAACTAAGTGTATGTAATACTTTAAATCCTTTATCATTTCAACAATACTTGTAGCATCTTCACTAGAAGTAAACTCCATCTCAGATAAGTACGTTCTTTGCTCATCCATGAGAAACAACTCCTTATCTTTTCAAATTTTATCATGAGATTGCAGCAATGTAGTCTCATCTTCAGGATTCACTTCTAATTATAGCTCTTTTATTATTTCTACCACATCTGCCTTTCTCCATTGAAATCTTGAACCCCTCAAAGTCATCCATGAAGATTGGAATAAACTTTTTTCAAGGTCTTGTTAATGTTGGTATTTTGACTTCCTCCCTTGAATCATGAATTTTCTTAATAACATCTAGAATGGTGAATTCTTTCCAGAAGGTTTTCAATTTACTTTTCCCAGATCCATCAGATGCCTCACCCTTTGTGGCAGCTATAGCCTTATGAAATGCATTTCTTTAATAAGACTTGAAAGTAAGAATTACTCCTGGATCCATGGGCTGCAGAATGGATATTGTATTCGCAAGCATGAAAACAACATTCTTCTCTTTGTGCATCTCTGTCAGAGTTCTTGGGTGACTAAGTACCTTGTCAATGAGTGTAATATTTTGAAAGGAATGTTTTTTTTCTGAGCAGTAGGTCTCAACGGTGGGCTTCAAATATTCAGTAAACCGTGTAAACAGATATGCTATGTATTACTGCATTCTCACAGTACTATAAAGAAATACCTGAGAGTGGTAATATTTATAAAGAAAAGAGGTTTAATTGGCTCATGGTCCCATGGGCTGTACAGGAAGCATGACTGGGGAGGCCTCAGGAAACTTTCAATCATGGGGGAAGGGGAATTAGGCACATCTTACATGGCCAGAGCAGGAGGAAGAGAGAGAAAGGGGCTGGTGCCGCACACCTTTAAACAACCAGATCTCATGAGAACTCTATCATGAAAACCATTAAGGATGGTGCTAAACTATTAGAAACTGTCCCCATGATCCAGTCACCTCCCACCAAGCCATACCTCCAACATTGGGGATTACAATTTGATATGAGATTTGCGTGGAGAACCAGACCCAAACCATATCATGCTGTCATCCAGGCTTTGTTGTTCCATTTATAGAAGACAGGCAGGGTAGATGTACTAAAGTTCTTAAGGGCCCTAGAACTTTCACAATGGTAAATAGGCATTGGCTTCAACTTCAAGTCACCAGTTACGTTATCCCCTAACAGGAGAGTCTGCCTGTCCTTTGAAGCCAGGTATTGACTTCTCCTCTATAGCTATGAAGGTCCTAGATAGCATCTTTTTCCACTAGAAGGCTGTGTCATGTACACTGAAAATCTATTGTTTAGTGTAGCCACATTAATCAGTTATCAGTTGTATTTTTTTTGTTGTAGTGATGCTTCTTTCCTTTAACCTCATGAACCAACCTCTACTAGCTTCAACCTTTTCTTCTGCAGCTTCCTCACTTCTCTCAGCCTTTACAGAATTGAGAACAGTTAGGGGCTTACTCTGGGTTAGGCTTTGGCCTAAGGGAATGTTGTGGCTAGTTTAATCTCTCCACACCGCTAGAACTTTCTCCATATCAGCAAGAAGACTGTTTCACTTTCTCCTCATTCATGTGTTCACTGGGTTACCAGTTTAGATTTACTTCAAGAATGTTTCCTTTGCATTCACAGTTTGGCCAACTGTTCAGTGCAAGAGGCCTGACTTTCCACATGCCTTCCTCAATAAGCCTATTAATCATTGCTAGCTTTTGATTTAAAGTGAGAGATGTATGATCCTTCCTTTCACTTGAACACTTAGAGGCCACTACAGAGTAACTGATTGCCCTCGTTTCAATATTACTGTGTCTCTGGGAATAAGGAGGCCCAAGGAGAGAGGGAGAGACATAGGACAACAGCTGGTTGATGGAGCAGTCAGAACACAGAACATTTATCGATTAAGTTCACTGTGTTAGGTGGGTGTGGTTCGTGACACCCTAAGACAATTACAATAGTACATCAAAGATTACTAATCACAGATCACCATAGAAGATCCAATAATGATGACAACTGTGAAATACTGCAAGAATTACCAAAATGTGACAGAGACACAAAATGAGCACACGCTATTGGAAAAATGGCACCAATAAGACTTGCTTGATGTGGGGTTGTCACAAACCTTCAATTTGTAAAAAACACACTGTCTGTAAAACAATAGTGAAGCGCAATAAAATATTGTGCCTGCAGGTTTCTGGCACACAACTCCTAAACTTTTTGGCATCTCCAAAGTGTTGTGTCCTTTTGTATGCTAACGAGTTGACTGGCTAGCCCCTAGGTGGCTTCAGAATGGGGACTGGTCACAGGAAAGACCAAGGCATGATTAGAGAATTTAGACTTTTCAACCCCCAGGAAAGGAAAGAGGTTGAAGGTTAAGCCAATTACTAGCAGCCAATGATTTAATCAGTCACCTACATAACACAGTTTCCATGAAAACCCAAAAGGACTGGGTTTGGAGAGCTTCCGGATAGCCGAACATGTGGAAGTTGCTAGAGGGTGGTCTATCTGGAGAGAGCATAGAAGCTCCATGCCTCTTCTTATATGCTTTGCCCTATGTATTTCTTCCTCTGTTTCCTCGTGACATCCTTGATAATAAACCAGTAAACGTAAGTAAAATGTTTCCCCAAATTCTATGAGATGTTCTAATAAATTAATTGAACCTAAGAAAGGGGCTCATGGGAGCCCCTTGGTTTGTAATTGCTTAGTCAGACGAACTGGTGAAACACCCGGGACTTGCAGTTGGTATTGGAAGTAGAAGACAGTCCTGTGAGATTGATCCCTCAACATGTGGGACCTGATGCTCTCTCCAGCTAGATAATAACATCAGAACTGAATTGAATTAGAGGACAGCCAGATGGTGTCCTGTGCAGAATAATTGCTTGCTTAGTGTGTAGAAAACACCCCACGCATTTGGTCGCAGAAGTATTCTGTGTTGTGAGAGTATAGTAGGAGAAACTGAGTTTGTTTTTTCCTGTGTCCTCAGATCAGGGATAGAGGTCTCTATACCCAGACTGCAGTGAATACACCTGCCCTATTTTAAATTAATCTTTTCTCAAAGGTCATTTCAGATGCATGCAGTAAACTTATAAAAGTTATTAGATTGATTAGAAATATACACTTAATATCCTAATTGGATAAGGAGATGATTTGCTTTTCCTCATTTTGTTAGATATTTTGATTTTTTTAATAGTTGTTAAAAGGCTGTGAAAACTAAATGTTGTAAGAAGCATGTATGCAGTCGTTCGTTACTGTGTGTGGTTTGTTTAGAGCATTGGTTTTTGGCTTTCAGTAGGTGGGAGGGGGGCTGGCTGCATGGTGTATCTAATTTTTGTAATGGAAGTTATACAAAGTCCTTTCTTTCTGCACCTTCAGATCCCAATATTAATTATATTTTTAACCTGAGGACTTCAACAGTTTAATTCAGTAAGCATTTATTTAGTACTTACTACCTACTTGGGACTTTATTCATGTTCAGGGATATAACAATAAGTCAAGACAGATCTGACCTGAATAAATTTTTATAGTCCATAACTTTTTTTTTTTTTTTTTTTTTTTTTGAGACAGAGTCTCGATCTCTCGGCCAGGCTGGAGTGCTGTGGTATGATCTCGGCTCACTGCAACCTCTGTCTCCTGGGTTCAAGCGATTCTCCTGCCTCAGCCTCCCAAGTAGCTGGGACTACAGGCACACGCCACTAGGCCCGGCTAAATTTTTTAATTTTAGTAGAGACAGGGTTTCACCATATTGGTCAGGCTGGTCTCAAACTCCTGGCCTCAGGTGATCCACCCACCTTGGCCTCCCAGAGTGCTGGGATTATAGGCATGAGCCACTGTGCCCAGCAACTACTGTAATTTTAAAAAAATATACTTGTAATTATCAATGAGGCCTAGACTAAAAAACATTCCCCCGATGCTGTCTGCTAATGCAGACACCAAATCTCTGAAGTTACTGAATGAATTTTCGTTCACTCCTTTCATGTGCATAAAGAGACTTATTTTAGGGCACTCAATGTGTTTTCATTTGTATTATAAGAATTATGTTTTCTATATGTTTCTACAAGTATAAGTTTTTTCTTCATCATTAGTAACCCAGGTCATTCTTTCTGGAAGTATTATGCTAACTGGTATTTTCTTAATGTTAGTTTTCTCATAAGATTCACCTTGAAACTATGTGTGAAGTAAAGAAAATCTACCTTCAGGATGAGTTTAGAATTTTGAAGAAAAAGTCCTTCACTTTCCCGAGAGACCCTAAGTCAGTTACAACTGATACAGGCAAGTAATGAAAGAAGAAGAAATATATATAACCACTTAATTAAAAGGAAAGCAATTTAATCCTGCTGTGTTATATTAAACATAACTTCATATTTCCATATAAAATTTAAACATGAAAAGTAAAGACCATAATGTAATAACATTCACTTCATTTCACTATCCGTTGTTTTCTAGTAAATTAAACTGTGTAGGGCATTACATCTTACATACAGCTCATAATGTTTTGATCAACAATCAGAATATATTGTAAATCCAAATAAAAACCTGCAGCTCTTAAAGGTGACATGATTTCACCCAAATCGGATTGAAAATGTATATTTTGGGGACTAAGATGCAGCTTTCCTAACTCCAATTCCACAACTCCTCTGAGAATTGCCATGATTTGAAGAAATACACTCAGTGAACTAGCATATGAAATATTCTACTGTTCTGAATTCTTCATATTTTTCCATAGGAAAGGGGAATTTGAATAGGAATAGTGAGGGAAAACACCCAGTTGAACTAAACACGAGGTGGAGTGTAAAGTATTACGAAAGATTTTTAGAGAAATAATTTAAATTTACTTTGTCAAAATGTATGTGTCCAAATTTGAAGGAAAAACATTTGAAATGCCATGGTTTTAAAATTATACCCAACAAGATGATGTTAATTGCATTAAAATTGCTTTAGCAAATATGCCTCATAATAATTACTAAGGAGTGTGCTACAAAGTCATCTCTTGCCTACCTTTTACTTTCTTTCTTTGTTTCTAGTCATTGTAGTCACATGCACTGCTGTGGTGGTGGTTCCATTTGCAGATAAAGTCTGTTTTTCTTTTTTTTCTTGAAGAGATGTGGCCTGTCTATGTGGAATTGACCAATGAAAAGATATATGGCTGTGATTTCATTGTCAGTGCTACAGGAGTTACACCAAATGTAGAACCTTTTATCCATGGTAACAGTGTAAGGTGAAACTTTTTTGTCCAGCTGTGAATATATTTGAAGTATTTTTGTGAAGATCTTTAGTTCTCAAACATGAATAATAATTATTGTAGTATACAACTGTAACTTGATATGGTTGAAAACAGTTTGGTTAAAACATTGTCTTGATTTACAGTATTTCTTACTGCTTAAAATCCTTACATAGTTACATCCTGGCATAAGCGTCATCAGTAATGGTTTATAATGTACAATTTGTTTATCTAAATGTTGGTAAGAGACTGACGCCTCCTGTGACTTCTCAGAAGTGATTCTTTTAGAGAAACCATCTTGTATTTTTTGCTTTTCAACACTTGAAGCTTACAAAAGAAAAAAAAGAATATTCTTATAGTTATGGGTAGGGTAGCAAGATGGTTATTGGATACTTTTCATGTTGAAATTCTAAGAATTTTATGGATCAATCTTAGTTGGAATTTGATCCATGGAAATTCGGCTGACGTGTCTCTAAACTTTGTGGCTATTTTTCATTTTCTCATTAAAGATGAGCATGCCAAAGTGTAACAATTTAATTTGTTTTTACCTTAGAATGGAAAAAATCATGTTTCTTTTTTTTTTTTTTTTTTTTACCACTTACGCTTACGGGGAACATTGTTTAGTTTAATCTAGGAGAAGATGGTGGCCTGAAAGTGGATGATCATATGCACACATCCCTTCCTGATGTCTATGCTGCCGGTGACATCTGTACTGCATCCTGGCAGCTGAGCCCAGTCTGGCAGCAGGTAAGCTAGCATATGTGATCATGTTTTTATCAGAGATTCTGTCTGAAAATAAAGCGGTTGTTACCAACAAATCCAACTTCTGGTTTTCCAACTTTGCTGCT